CCCGGCCCCGGGCTGGGCGCCCCACCCGCCCTGGCTGGGGCACCCCCCTCAGAAGCACTACCTTCCGCTCTCCCAGGAGCACACGGCAGTCACAAACGAGCTGCACGCCATCCACCAGGCCATCCGCCAGGAGCAGGACTTCAAGCGCCACACGGACACCTCCATCACGGACAAACTGCAGGAGCACGTGACCTCCAGAAAGTTGACCAAGTACTTCAACCAGCTCCTCCAGAAGCTGCAGAAGGAAAAGACCACCATGGTAGGAAGCTCCCCTCCGGGGCGGGGCGGGGCGGGGCAGTGTGGCCAAGCTGACCCCACCAGACGCTCTGCGTGGCTTCTTGTGGTCAAAGCCTTCTCCTCTCCCCCCACTTGTTTTGGCCAGTTAAGGGGCTTGAACTCAGGGCTCTAGGTGCTGTCCCTGAGCTTTTTCCACCCAAGGCAAGTGCTCTACCACTTTGAGCCACTGCCCCACTTCCAGTTTTCTGGTGGTTATTTGCAGATAAGAATCTTCAAGACTTTCCTGCCCAGGCTGGCTTCGAACCATAATCCTCAGAGCTCAGCCTCCTGAGTAGCTATGATTACAGGTGGGAGCCACTAGCACCTGGCTTCCCTTCCTTTTAATTTATTATTATTTTTTTAAATTTTTTTTCTTTGTCGGTCATGGGGCATGAACGCTGGGCCTGGGCGCTGTCCCTCAGCTCTTCAGCTCAAGGCAAGCGCTCTACCACTTGAGCTACAGCGCCACTTCCAGTTTCTGGTGGTTTTATTGGAGAGAAGACTCTCATGGACTTTCCTGCCCAGGCTGGCTATGAACCTAGATCCTCAGATCTCAGCCTTCTAAGTAGCTAGGATTATAGGCGTGAGCCACTGGGCCTGGCCCTTCTCCTTTTTAAGTTGACATCAATTAGTCACGCCAGGGGGGTTTGGTGTGTGTGTGTGTGTGTGTGTGTGCATGAACACGCACATGCTCAAGCATACATGCTAGCTCTGGGACTTGTACTCAGGGCTTGGACACTGTCCCTAAGCTTTTTGCTTAAGGCTAGAGCTCTACCATTTGAGTCACACACAGTACCACTTGTGGATTTTTGGTTAATTGAAGATAAGAATTTCATAGACTTTCTTGCCTGGGTTGGCTTTGAACCATGATCCTCAGCTCTTAGCCTCCTAAGTAGCTAGGATTACAGGCATGAGCCTGTAATGAGCTGGTGCTAACTTAAGTTACCTCTTATGGAAATAGAAGAAGAAAAGTCAGGTTTAGGGCTGGGAAGGTGGCCCAGTGGTTGAGTGCTTGCCTTGCATGCATGAGGCCCTGGGTTCGATTCCTCAGCACCACGTAAGCAGAAAAAGCTGGAAGTGGCACTGTGGATCAAGTGGTAGAGCACTCGCCTTGAGCTGAAGAGCTAAGGGACAGTGCCCAGGCCCAGAGTTCAGGCCCCACGACTGACAAAAACAAAAAAAAAAAGTCAGGTCTAGTTTAGGACAGTCTTTTCTGTGATCTTGATGTATTTCTTCCTGAATATCTTTCTATACACACACACACACACACACACACACACACACACACACACACGAGCTATACATGCACGCCCAGGGTCTATTTGAATCCTCAGTCGCACTGGGCTGTGGCACACAGCAGAGGGCGGGTGCAGGCTGGGTGTAGGAGTCAGTGATTGTCTCTGCATAGTTTGCCCTGCTTTTGGCTGGTGATTTGGAGATTGAGTCTCATGGACTCTTTTGCCAGGGCTGACCTCAAACCATAATCCTCTGGGTCTTAGTCTCCGGAGTGGCTGGGGTTATAGGTGTGAGCACCTGGCTTGAATTTGGCCCTGCAGCCCTGGGCCTTGGCCGGGTTCCTGAGGAAGGCCCGGGAAGGTGAGGTCTCACCTCACAGGGGCTCCCACAGCCCCCAGGGTCCAAGGAGGAGCCCTGCTTTGGACTCCGGTCATAGAGGGTGGGGGCTGAGTCCCCGGGGGTGGGGCTCCTTGCTGTCCCGGTGTCCCCTGCGGGACCTGCTCTGGTTCTGTCCTAAGGAGAGCGGCTGTGCCAGACGCAGCTCTGCCCCTCCTGGGCAGTCTGGGTTGCACTACCACCTCTGTCCAGAAGAGGGCAGGAAGGAGCCCTGGACAACAAATTCCCCTACAATTGCCATTTTCCAACAGATGGAGCTCTGAGGGATCCCTGCTGGTCCCGGCCCGGGAGCTGTGAGCCGGTGGCAGGCAGGCAGGGCGGGGCAGGGGCGCCTCCAGGAGGAGGAGCACTGGGTGGATGGACCCCGCAGAGCCGGGGCCCACAGGGCGTGGCGGACAGGACAGGGCAGGGCAGTGGGGGGAGGGAGTGGTCTGGAGAGTAAAAGGGGCTCAGGCAGTGGAGGCCCTGCTGGCACCTGGTCTCGGGATGATGTTCACAGAACAGGGCGGGGGCGGGGTCTGTGTTTTACAAGTGGTGGGAGTGGGAGCCCTGGCTGTGGTTGGGGCCTAGGAGGGGGAGCTGCGGGCCCCAGAGCAGACGGGGTGCTGGAGGGCTGGCAGCGGGAGCCCAGAGGCAGGGACAGCCAAGACCACCCACAGGGTGGCACCGGTGGCTCACACCTGTAATCCTAGTTACTCAACCAGCTGAGATCTGCAGGTTGTGGTTTGAAGCCAGCCTGGGCAGGGACACCTGTGAGTCTTTTTTTTGGGGGGGGGGTCGGTCGTGGGGTCTGAATTCTGGGCCCGGACGCTCTCCCTCAGCTCTTCAGCTCAAGGCTAGCGCTCTACCACTTGAGCCACAGCACTACTTCCGGCTTTTTTTTTTCCTGCTCATGTGGTGCTGAGGAATGGAGCCTAGGGCCTCATGCATGCAAGGCAAGCGCTCTACCACTGAGCCACCTTCCCAGCCCCCTGTGAGTCTCTTATCTCCAATTAACCAGCCAGAAGTGGAGGTTTGGCTCAAGTGATAGAGCGCCTAGCACCGAGTCCAAGCCCCAATACTGATACACACCCACCAAAATTAGGAGCAAATCAGCTGGGTGTGACGGCTTGTGCTTGTAACCCCACTACCTGGGAAGCAGAGGCACAAGGATCACATGTTAGAGGCCAGCCCATGCAGAGTTGGGAGGACCGCATCTCAGTAACAAAATACATAAAGCAAAAGGGCTGGGGGCATGACTCAAGTGGTAGAGAACCTACCCAGAAGTGTGAGGTCCTGAATTCAATTCCCAGCAGCACCCGCCCCCCCCATACAATCATAACCTGCTCTAGCAGCCACAGCCCAGGAGGCGACCCGCAGCCTAGTTCTGTCCCACTGAGCACAGAGGGCTCATGTAAAAGACAGAAAGAAGGCTACGTTCCATGTGACTGCAGCAGGAAAACCTGGCAGTAGAATCAGACCATTCCCTCCCACCCCTGGCCACCGCAACTGCCCCACGCACGCAATGAGCCAGCCGCAGTGGCGGGCTTCCATCCGGGTCTCCAGGCCCCAGCAGCCAGCATCCTCCAGGTCTGCCTGCCTGGAGCCTCCTGGGACAGAAGTGCTCACACACGTGCCTCGTCCCCTAATTCAGGTGACACACCTCTCCAAAATCGACGGCGACATTGCGCAGGCCACCCTGAACATCACCAACACCAGCTGCAGGCTGGAAATGCACCAGAAGACGCTGTCGGAGCTGGACAAGGAGGTGAAGGAGGTGAATGAGCTCATCACCAACAGCGAGAACGAGATCTCCCGCCGCACCATCCTGATCGAGAGGAAGCAGGGGCTCATCAACACCTTCAACAAGCAGCTCGAGCAGATTGTGTCGGAGCTGGGGGTAAGGCCCCCGGTGGGACAGATCCTTCCGGGCTTTGTTATGAGAAAGGAAGCCCTGGAGACCAGGCATGGTGCCTCATGCTTGTAATCCCAGCCACTCAGGAGGCGGACATCAGGAAGAGGGTGGGTTGAGGACAGCCGAGGGCGGGGGGCAGTTAGCAAGAACCCCATCTCAACCAATAGGTGAAGCATGGTAGCACATTTGTGTCCGAGCTACATGGGAGGCATACTGAGGACGAGATCAGTCTAAGGCTAGCTCTGGGGAAAAACCAAGATCCTAGGTAAAAAATAACTAAAAATTAAAAAAAAAAAAAAAAGAGTTACGGATCTGTCTCCAGCAAGCATGAGGCCCTGCATGCCAAACCCCAGCACCACCAAGAAAGAAGACAGACAGAGTGACCCCTCAGGACACGGTGTCCCGGCACGGGGGGGGGGGGGCGCCTGACCGAGGCCAGTGCAGGGCGTGGTTGCAGCAGGCCCCGGCACACGGTGTTACCTCTTCCCCTGGACCGCCGCCCTCTGTGGGCATGGTGAGGGCTGCCCGCCATTGGAGCCAGCAGTGACCACCGACCGCTGTGCCAGTGGTCTAACGAGTGTGGGTCTCTACACCCCCTGGTGCTCACAATGCTGGTAGGGGTCGGGGTGCACACTGGGGGCCCGTGGGGGAGAGCCCCCATGTTGGGTTAGGAAAGCAGCCGCAAAGCCCTGTGGGTAGCAAAGAGGCCCCAAGGGACCCCGAGGGCGTGGGCCCAGGAGGGACCCGGAGCACGTTCACCCTGGAGAACTGTGCCCCCCAGGGGGAAGAGATGGGACCCCTGGAGGTGGAAATCAAACGGCTGACCAAGCTGATCGAAGAGCACACGGCCAAGATCACGCAGACCCAGGTGAGCTGGCTGCGCCTGCAGCAGGAGCTGGTGCAGGTCAGCCAGGAGCGCGAGGACCAGCTGGCCACCCTGGACATGCTCAGCAAGGAGCTGAACATCATGGAGCAGAAGAAGCTGCGGACCGACAGTGAGGGCAGGGCTGGCCCCACGCGGGGTGGGGCGGGGCTGTACGGCCAGGGGCGGGGCTTGGCGCTGTGGGGGGTGGGGCCCGATGCGGGGTGGGGCGGGGCTGTACGGCCAGGGGCAGGGCTTGGCGCTGTGGGGGTGGGGCCCGACATGGGGCGGGGCTATGGCAGGCTGCATGCACCTGCTGTTCTTTCCCATCCCTCTGTTGAGAGCATCCATCGGGGCTGGGAAGGTGGCTCAGTGGTAGAGTGCTTGCCTTGCATGCATGAGGCCCTGGGTTCCATTCCTCAGCACCACATAAGCAAAAAGAAAAAAGCCGGAAGTGGCGCTGTGGCTCAAGTGGTAGAGCGCTAGCCTTGAGCTGAGCTGAGGGACAGCACCCAGGCCCAGAGTTCAGGCCCCACGACCGGACCCAAAAAAAAAAAAACCCCAAAAAAGTTCTGCCACATCCCTAAAGCTCTTCCCTAGGGACCCGGCCCCGGGGCCCCATGGTGGGGGTAGGGGGCCCACAGTGGCACCACATCCACAGTGCAGCAGTCCCCAGTAATTAATAAGAACTAATTAATTGTCCCCTTGCCACAGACCTTTCCCATGGGCCTGGAGCACCGCTTCAGACTGAGCCTCCAGAGCAGCTTGTCATCTGAGGTGGACCAGACCCTCCTACAGGCAGGTATGCTGACAGCCCCAGCCCCAGCCCCAGCCAGCATCCCTCCACGCAAAGCAGGCTGCCCCTCCAGCACCAACGTAAACACATCCGCACTGCAGAGAGCATTTACTAAGAGCTCACTTAGTCCCAACAGTCGGCCGTGTGCAGAGGAGGACCTGCAGGTCATTCAGAAAGTTGTCCAGGTAACAGGCAGCACAGGGTCATCATCAAGAGTCCACAAGAGCCACATGCAGGTGGCTCACGCCTGTCATCCTAGCTACTCAGGAGTCTGAGATCTGAGGATCGCAGTTCAAAGCCAGCCCAGGCAGGAAAGTCTGTGAGACACTTATCTCCAATGAACCACCAGAAAATCGGAAGTGGTGCGCTGTGGCTCAAGTGGTAGAGTGCTCACCTTGAGCTGAAGAACTGAGGGACAGCACGCAGGCCCAGAGTTCAAGCCCCATGATTGACCAAAAAAAAGAACAGAGCTGGGCACAGTGTGTCACTCCTGTGACCCCAGCACTTGGGAGGTAGACAGGAGGATGGCAGTTCAAAGCTAGCCTGGGCTTACACATTTGCATGACTGAGTCTCAGTGATGAGGCGCCTGATGCCTGCCTGTCCTCTCCAGCCGCACAGGGAGGCACAGCAGATTGCAGCGCAGTAGGATTGGGCGTAAGACAAGACCTTACCTCAAAAATAACCAAAGCAAGAAAGGGCTGGGGGCATGGCTTGAGGGGCGACACACCTGCTTAGGAGACACAGGCCCTACAAGGCCCTAGTTCAATGCTCAGTGCCTCCAACCACAAAGCGCAGATAGAATGGGCGGTCCCAAGGGCGTGCTCCCAGCCCTTGCTTGGCTTCTCTGGTTTTCCTTGTTTTAGATCCATTGCACTGCCCGTGGGTGGGACCAGCTTTGCTGCCACCTCCCCCAAAATATGATGCTGCCCGGTGACGTTTGCCCTCCTCCCTCAGCTATGCCCTCACTGGGGCCCCAAGGCCGGAGTGATTCCCTGGAGGCATTCCTGGCTCGGATCCAGCTCACCCCTGAGGAAGCCGCCCTGTTGGGCGCGGAGGAGTCCGAGGGCAGCGAGGACATGGGAGACGATGGGTCCCGCACGGTGGTTTTGGACCCAGACCACGTAAGATTCCTGGGACTTGCTTTTGCCCTGTGTAGAAGAGTCACTCGGGCCATGTGGTCTTCCAGCCCCCTGGGTCCAGATCTGCCCGCCACAGGCACACCCAGCCCCTGCTTCCTACCCGAGGGGTTTCAGATTCCCATGCCCAAAGTATACGTCCCCCACTTCCGCTTGCTGGCCTGGGCCTGGGAGGGTGGGGTTGGGCGGCCCTGGGCTCCACAGCCTTTGTGTAATAAGGAGAAGGACTCCAGGCCTTGCTTCCTAGTGGAGTCTAGGGACACACTCATTGCCTTGAAGGGGCCTTATCTCATCCCCCCCCCTCGCCCCCGTCCCCGCCCGCCCGGCACCTGGTGAAGTCCAGCTCTGGTCTGAGGGAAAGCAGGGCTCACCAGGCTGCACAACGTCACTGGACGCTGACACCCTCCGGCCCCTGAGAAAGGGACCGCCTGAGGGAGCTGGCCTGCCTTTACAGCGGGACCCTCAGCCCCTCCATGCCTGCAGGAGCCCAGGGGGTGCCTTGAGTTTGTGGCTTCCAGAAGAAAAATACCAAGAAGATAGGGGGCACAACTGCTGCTGGAATCACACACACATGCACACGCACACACGCGGAGGGGAGCCGTGGCCCCCAGGCGGGGGCTGACCGCGGCGGTCTTGTGTTTCAGCCACTGATGGTCAGGTTCCAGACCACCCTGAAGAGCTACCTCAACCGGCAGATCGAGAAGCTGAAGCTGGAGATTCAGGAGCTGGTACGCGGGGTCCCGGCTGCCCAGGCCCGGACAGGCCCCCTGCGTCCTCGTGACCCTCTTCTCCTGGGCGCAGGAAGTGGGCACCAAGCAGAGGCGGAGCCAGCGTCAGGAGCTGGGCGTGAATCTCTACGGGATCCAGCAGCACCTGGCCTACCTGCAGATGCAGCTGGAGAAGAGCCACGACCGCCACTCCCTGGCCTCCTGCGAGAGGCGGCAGAAGGAGGATGAGCTGCAGGAGCTGCGTGCGCTCTACACCAAGACCTATGGGGAGGCCAGCGAGGCGCGCAAGAAGCGTGCGTGCAGTCGGGGCCTGGGGTGGGGGATTCTGAGGGGCTGGGAAGGTGGCTCAGTGGTAGAGTGCTTGCCTGGCATGCATGAAGCCCTGGGTTCCATTCCTCAGCACCACATAAACAGAAAAAGCTGGAAGTGGCACTGTGGCTCAAGTGCTAGTGCTAGCCTTGAGCTGAAGAGTTGAGGGACAGCGCCCAGGCCCAGAGTTCAGGCCCCATGACCAACAACAACAACAAAAAAAAACAAACAACTGGACCTGGGGGAAGGGGGAGAGGGAGGTCTCTAGACCGCACACTCTGGATTTGCTGCTGGCACCAACTAGCGGTGGTCATCCACACCCAACACAGACACAAACAGGGAGTCAGGGGTGTGGGGCCACAGGCCCAGCCTCAGTCAGGGGTGTGGAGAGAGTAGAGAGAGCAGACAGGAATTTTATTTTCTGGTCCTGGGGCCTGAACTCTGGGCCTGGGCGCTGTCCCTACGCTCTTCAGCTCAAGGCAAGCGCTCTACCACTTGAGCCAAAGCGCTACTGCTGGTTTTCCATGGTTTATTGGAGATAGGAGTCTCATGGACTTTCCTGCCCGGGCTGGCTTTGAACTGTGATCCTCAGATCGCAGCTCCCTCAGTAGCTGGGATTACAGGCGTGAGCCTCCAGCACGCGGCTGAATTTGAATTTGGTTAAAGGAATTCGTTCCTGAGGGTTTATGGAACTTTGGGTGAGTAGGCAGTGCAGCCTCCTGGAGGCCCAGCCTCCAGGGCGGCCTCCCTCTCACTGGCTGCAGGGAGAGAGCTTTGGTGGAGCTCAGCCTCCCTTTAGCATTGGGGTCATGGGGCCTTGGGCCTCTGTGTGAATTTGCTCACTGTTAACTGGTAAGAAACCTGTGAAATAGACACAAGATTTGGTCATTCAGCCCTACTCATACAGCAGAACATGTTGTAGTTGGTGAGTGTAGATTGTGTACCTCTCTTTTCTCTCAGTCTCTATTTCGCAGCAGAGTCTGGGTCTTTATGGTTTAAAAGCCATTCTCAGGCTGGGTGTGGTTACACAGGCCTGTAGCCCCAGCTCTCTCAGGCTGAGGCCTGAGGATCTTGAGTTAGAGGCCAGCCTGGGCTACACAATGGTGGCAGGGTCCCCTGCCCCACGCCGGAGGGAGGGGTCGAGGACGATCCTGAGTGCCCCTCCTCTCCTCCCCAGTGGCCGCCCTGCAGACGGAGATGGAGAACTTGGCCCTGAACCTCTTCTACATGCAGAACATAGACCAGGATGTGCGGGACGACATTTCCGTGATGAAGCAGGTGGTGAAGAAGGCGGAGATGGAGCGGATGCGGGCTGAAGTGGAGAAGAAAAAGCAGGTGTTTACGCGGCCCCTGGGGCACACAGCCCCCCCCCCCCATGGGCCTCAGCTGCTGCCCGGGGCTCAGGCCGGGCTGTGCTGACGGCAGGTCTTGGCTCTTCTCTGCCCCGCCCCCAGGACCTGCACGTGGACCGGCTCACCTCGCGAGTGCACCAGCTGGAAGAGAGCATTGCCCTGCTGGAGGCTCAGTACGGTGCGCAGGCCCATGACACCCGGTGTCTGAAGGAGGCGGTGAACGAGGTGGGTGTGAGGCCCCGCCCACGGCACACACACTCACACCTGAGCCAAAGGTCACCCACACAGTGCCCACGTGTCCACCGGCCAGCAACACAGCCTGGGCCGGCCCTCCTCCCACCCCCAACAACAGCTGGATGCCCCCCCCCCCGGGAATGGCCAGCAGGTGGGAGGAAGGCCAGGCATCCAGACCCTACCTGTAAATTAACTAATGTAATGGTAAATACTCAGGGTGCTGAGGATTGAAGCTCAAAGCCTGCTTAAGCAAAAGCCCATGAAACTCTTATCTTGAATTAGCCAGCAAAAAGCCATAAGTGGAGCTATAGATCAAGTGGTACAGCATCAGCCGTGAGTAAAAAAGCTAAAGGAAAGCATCCAGGCCTTAAAGTTCAAGCCCCAGCACCAGCAGGCATGCATGTGTGCATGTGCACACACACACTCACACACACAATAGTCAAGGTAATAAGGGGCTGGAATTGAGCCAGGTGTGGTAGCTCATGCCTGAAATCCCAGCTACTAATGAGACTGAGATCTGAGGATTGAGATTCAAAGCCAGCCCAGGGAAGGAAAGGCCATGAGACTCTTATCTCCA